TTCAGGAAAAGTTTGATTCTAATTTCTCTAAGCATCTTGTTCAAGAAATGTTAGAAGATGGGTCTACATTCTCCATTTTCACAGTTTCTCCAATACTACTTCTAGATCATCGTTCCACCATTTAGTTTAAAAACTCCTCTTTTCTGGCTGAATGCAATCTTTCTATACCCTTTCTCTTTGCTACCATACAGAAAATTCATTCACTGATTCACTGGCTTCCTTACAAATCCTAGGCCCTGAGGTTATATTGAGTGACTTCAATTTCCATGTAATAACCCATCCAATGTTTCATCTCATGTTTCTCAATCTCTTAATTTCCCAGGACACTTTAGCCACTCACATCCAAGGGCACACCCTATCCTTGTTATCATCAAGAATCTCTCCACTTTTGAAATCTTAAATTCAAACCACCTTCTTATTACCATAACCACCCAAGGATTAACTATGGGTTACTATGGCAGTGGTTTTCAAGGTGAGGAGTGAGGAAAGGAACACACATTCAAGAGTATTCATCTGAATCTCAGGGGTTTGCTTAGTTTGAAAACTTCCACAGGTGATGTAAAAAAATAATTGTTTCATTTTTATCATTGTTGTTAAGAATATACAAAGCAGAACACACACCAGTTAAGCAATTTCTACATGTACAATTCAGTGACATTTTAGAAGTTGTGCAGCCATTCTTACCCTCCTTTTCCAAGTTGTTCCTCCCCAATTGACATAAACTCATTGCCCCCTAAGTTTCTCATCTAATCTTTCTAGTTGCTGTTGTCACGTTGATTTCATACAGATAGACCTTAAAGGAGCATAATGTACAGGATAGATATTCTTTACTAGTTAATCTAAACTACTATTTGGTTTTAAGAAGACTTCAGGGGATATTTTTGTTTCAAAGTTTAAAAATTATCTCAGGGCAATTGTTTCAGGGGTTCATCCAGTCTCAATGGCTCCCGAAAGTCTAGAGTCCATGAGAATTTGTTATTCTGTTCTGTATTTCCCCCTCTTGATCAGGATTCTTCTATAGAATCTTTAATAAAAATGTTCAGAAATGGTAGTTGGGCACCATCCAGCTCTTCTGGTTCTATGGCAAAGGAGGCATTTGTTCATGGAGGCAATTAGCCATACATTTAATTTCTTTCTACTATTCTTGACTCTACTTCCTCTGTTGCTTTAGGTGAACAGAGACCAGCTATTGTACGTGGGATGGCAGTTTGCAAGCTTTTATGACCCAGGCACAACACAATGAACTAAGGTAAAATATAAGCACTGAACACATTATTAGGCCAATTAACTGGGATGTCCAATGAAACCTCTAAACCAAGGGAATAAATTCCATGAAGTGTTGTATATAAGCAGCCTCAGCAGCTACTCTTTTTTGTGTTTTGTTTTGTCATTGTTGTAAATACATCTGTCACACAACTTTTTTTTTTTTTTAGGATTTGGGTGAAGATTTACAGAGTAAATTCACTTTTCATACAGCAGTTCACATATACTTTGTCTCATGTCATTGACCAAAATTTACAATGCAGCAGCTCCCCTCCCACTTCCTCCCCATAGTTACCTCCTCCCAGTGTCCATCCCTTCATACTCTTCTGCACCCTGAGCTATCTCCCTGTGCATAAGCAGCCCTTCCTTCTCCCATGATTGTTCTCTCCAGGGCGTGTGTCTACTTGAGGTAAATGTTTAACTCACATGCCTGTACTTTGTTTGGCTGGAAACCACAGTTGTGGGTTCAATTCCAGACCTGAAGGGCAGCTAGGGGCCATAGTCTCAGTGGTTACACCAGGCTCTATTGGATCAGCAAACCTGGTCCCCATCTTCTTCTTCTTTTTTTTTTTTTTTTGCCTCCAAATGATTTTGAGTTTTGTACCACATTGTTCTCCCTCTTTATGCAGGATCTCCTACATCCCTTCCAAGTGGATGGCAGTGGTAGCTGGGCACCATCTAGTTCTTCTGGTCTCATAGTTGTATAGGCTGCAGATCAGATGGTATCACACAACTTTTGCAGTTTCAACTTTTCACAAGTGTACAACTTATTGACAGCAATTACATTGTCTGTGCAACCCCATCCTTAATGAATGTGATTTTTCTGTCCCTGTAAAATGAAACTCTGTATTCCATAACCAATAGCCTTCCCTTACCCCACTCACTCCCAGTAACCATTAATAAACTGATTTCTATACATTTGCCTATTTTTGTCCTTTTATATTAGTGAGGTCATATAATATTTGCCCTTTTGTGATAAACTTATTTCATTCAGCACACTGTCTTCAAGATACATCTATAGTGTATCATGTATCAAAACTTCATTTCTCTTATCGGCTGAGTAGTAAGTATTCCCATGTATGTATGCACCACGTTTTGTTTATTCATTCATCTGTTGGTGAGCATGTAGGTTGTTTCCACATTTTGGCTATTGTAAATAGTGCTGCAATCACCATTGATGTAGTTCTATTTTTATTTTTTGTCCACAGGTTATCTTAATTAGTCTCCTTTAGAGAGCATTTCTCCTGTCCTTTCTATCTGTTGTACATTGCTGATGTAACTAGAGCTGATATCTCCTGGGTTCAAATACTGACTCCCTGATGGCTAAAGAGGTTGAGTATCTTTTCTTGTGCTTTTTGGCCATTTTTATACCTTCTTTGGAGAAATGTCTATTCAAATCCTTTGCTGATTTTAAATTGAGTTGTCTTGTAACTGTTGAGTTGTAACAGTTCTTTATATATTCTGAATATTAGGCCCTTATTAGATATGTGATTTGCAAATACTTCCCACCATTCTTGGAGTTGTCTGATAATGAAATTCAATTTATCTATTTTTCTTTGGTTTCTTGTACTTTTGATATCATACCTAAGAAACTATTGCCTAATCCAAGGTCAAGAATATTTACATCTATGTTTTCTCCTCTAAGAGTTTTATAGTTTTAGCTCTTACGTTTAGGTGTTTAATCCATTTTGAGTAAATTTCTTATACAGTGTGAGATACAGGAAACTTCATTCTTTTGCTAGTAGATAACCAGTTGTTCTAGCACCATTTGTTGAAAGACTATTCTTTCATCATTGAGTTATCTAGGCATTTTTTTTCAAAAATAAATTGACTGCAAATGTGAAGCTCTTTTGATATATTTCTGGATTCCCAATTCTATTTTATGTGTCTGTATGTCTATCTTTATGTCAGTAGAGCCTTTGTATTTACTTTTTGAACATTTTATTGTATTTAGGTGAAAGTTTAAGGAGCTCTGGTGGTATAGTGGTTAAGGCATTTGGCTGCTAACCAAAAGGTCATTGGTTTGAACCCACCAGCTGCTCCAGGTAAGGAAGATGAGGCAGTTTGTTTCTGTAAAGATTTACAGCCTTAGGAAAGGTTTACATATGAGGGAAACTTTCTTTGTTGGTTGTGGGGGGGGTCACTAGAAAAAAAAAAGCATTGACCCATGTCACTTTAGTTTTGTGTATTTTGTTGTAGATAAATTATATTTCAATAAAATGCATTAAAAAAATATTTACAGCCTTGGAAACCCAATGGGGGTCTCTATGAGTTGGAATTGACTTGATTGCAGTGAGTTTGTTTTGTTTTGGAGGTGAAAGTTTACACAGCACATTAGTTTCCCATTCAACAATTTATATACAGTGTGTTCTGTGAGATTGGTTGCTATCTATGCAATGTGCCATCACTCTTCCCCTTTCCACCCTGCTTTCCCATTTCCTTCCCTCCAGTTTCCTGCCCTTCTTCGCCTTCTCATCTTTGCTTTTGGGCAAATGTTTCCCATTTGATTGTTCTAAGGAGCACATTTCTCAAGGATGTTATTGTTTATTTTATAGGCCAATCTATTATTTGGCTGAAAGGAGACTTCTGGGAGTGGCTTCAGTTTCAGGTTAAAAGATGCCATAGGCTGATAGTCTCAGGAGTTCCTCTAGTCTCTATCCTTTAAGTCTGGTCTTTTTTTTTTTTTTTTAATAAATTTGAGTTTTGTCTTACATTTTTCTCCCATTCTAACCAGGACCTTTTATTGTGTCCCTGGTAAGAGTGGTTGTTAGCGGTAGCAAGGCACCATCTATTTCTTCTCGTCTCAGGCTACAAGAGTCTGTGCTTTGTGTGGGCCATTAGTCCTGTGGATTTCTTCCTTGTGTTCTCTGGTTTCTTTTCCTCCAGACTGGGAGAGACTATTAGTTGTATCTTAGATGGCTACTCGCAAGTGTTTAAGTGGTAACTAAGTCAGAAACCCAAGGAGGTGTAGCTATGAGTCGGGTCCAATTGGATGGCACATAACAACCATAAAAAAATCATCACTAGGGAAGTAGATTGCCCAATCTTCCTTCCAAGGAGTGGCTGGTGGGTTTGAACTCAGCCTTCTGCTTAGTAGTCAAATGCCTTAGACACTAGGCCACCAGAACTCTTTTTTTTTTAGTTTCTTTTTTCATGTACTGAGAACTTTCCGCAGGGTCTTTTTCATTTGTAGTTTTCAAGGTTGTGCCCAGTGGGATCTTTTTTTTTTGTTTTGCCTTTTTATTTTATTTTTTAATTTCTGCAGTGTTTCCTTCTCGCCCCTCTTGACCCCTGGTAACCAACAAAGCTTTTCTTTTTTTTTTTTTTTTCCTGAATTAAGGTCAGGTATTTGGCTAGAGTTAAAACTGTTAACTTTAGGGTAAAAGTACTAGTGTTCAATTCAACACACTTACGAAGCATTTGTGGCAAGATCAGAGGAGACAAAAGAAGTATCAGCTCTTGGCTCAGCCTTTACAAACGCACAAGGTGTTGGAAAGGAAGGCGTCTGGATTGTTGTTCCAAACACTGCCTTTCGTCCCCAACTTTTCCCTTGGAGATGGGCTCGGGCCTCAGATGCAGGGTCTGATCCTCGGAGAAGATGGTGACAGTTAATTCACACGCGCTACCACTGATAAAGCAACTCCTGGGCCCTCCTGCCTCAGGGCCACTCGGCCACCACCACCCGTTTTCCCGCCTCGCCATTCCATCTTCCCCATCCCTCCTCCCGGCGCGTAGCGGAAGTGACGGGAGGCGTTGCGGAAGTCCCTCCAGCCGCGGTGTTGTGCTGGGGAAGACAGACCGATTTGTAAATCCCGGAGCGAGATTCTGCCTGCCGGAGGTCGCTGCTGTGCGGAGACCACCGGGGTGAAGCCACCGCCACCATGTCTGACCAGGTACCGGGCCAGGATCCGTCCAACAGTGGTGGCGGGGCCGTAATCGGCAAGTCCGCCAGACCCCCGGCTGGGGCCGGGGATGGAGGCGGGGGGAGGGGAACGTTCAATGGGGGAGGGGGCGGGCGGCAGGGACCCAGCCAGCTAGGGAGGGAAGCAGAACAGGGCTGGAACTGTCCGGGCCTGCCGCGGGCCTCCAGGAGCCGCCCCGCCCCTCTCTGGACTCGCTGGTCATCCCCGATACTTCGGTGCCTCTGGTTGCCACTTCTCTCACGACGTCTCTCCTCTTTTTCGGGGTCTGCCAGGTGCAGAGCTCAGCTTTCACCTCTCAGAGAGGGTCCCTGGTGAACCTGGTCGCTTTCCTCTCCAGAGGACTGATTGCAGAGCAGGGCCTTAGGCCCCAGTTATGTAACGGAAGAGAATCCGTGACAGGGAGGCCCCGTGGCCCGGAAAAGCGGATGGACTCCACTTTTTAGTTGGTCCTCGAGTGGGTACTGGGGTCGGGGTGGGGGTGGAATATGTTGTTTCTTGCTGCTGGAAATCTGGGAAGAGCAGCCTCTGTTCGGACGATTACAGCGTCGGGCCACCGCTTCCCTTTAAATCTTTTTCCGTGTGGGGGTGCAGAGCTGTCGCCTCTTGTACTTTCCCATTACTTACTTGGGATTGGTTCAGCAACTCTCCAGTTGTAACAGAGCGCTCAGAATAGCCAAGAAACAAAGTAGAGTACTTAAACTATCAGAATAACAAACACCCCTTCATCTGGGCATTAACCGAGACATGACTGATGCCTTTGAGGAAATGGCTAGGAAAACTTCGTGTATGTAGTACAGTTGCAGAACATTTGCAGAAAGCTGGCTATTATATCGATATGCTCCATCTCAGTGTTAGTATCAGGAATTTTCTTGGGATTTAAACTTAATCAGGAGGAATCGATTTTCCCTCCTAAGTTTTCCTCCCCATTCCTTCTTCTGGTTAACCATGTTACGGCTGGTTTTTAATTCACAAGATCTTTGATCATCGTTTTGTTTGCTCAGAGGACTTTGACTTTTTAAAGTATTTTTGAGTATTTGTTTAGTGACAGTTACAAGAAATGTTTTTCATTCAATTCTTCGGTGTACTTGAACTTTTAAATTTATCACACTTGTTCCCACGGCTTTTGACCAAGTTTTGCACCATTTGGTCAGAGCAAGTGAGGCTTTTATGGGTTTGCACTAATGCATAACGTTGACATTTACCTTTTTTTTTTTTTTAATTTAAATTAACCATAATCTGGATTAGTTTTGGATGAGTCTCTTTACTAATCATCTAAATTAATTCCCAAGTTGGTATGGGAATGGCATTGTAAGTATTTCCCTAGACAGTTGTTTACTTGGTTACCAGCGAGGAAAGAACAGGTGTAAATGCTTAGTTTCATTAGCTTTTTACAGTGATGTTTGAAAGTGACTAGGAAGCATGTTGAAATTTGCTATAGTTTGATGAAAGCATAATATACTAACAGAATCGTAAAAGAAATTGTAGAATTTTGTGCTCATGTTTGAAGTTAGGTCATTTAAGAAAGACTTGAGGGAAGAAACAAAGGGCTTAGGATACTGACAAGTGGCTCTAGACCAGAGGTTCTTGAGATTTTTTTCTAGGGGATCTGGGAGGCCAAAACTATTTTCATAGCAACAATGAGACATTATTTGCCTTTTTCACTCATTTGTGAGTGTTTAATGGAGTTTCTAGAGGCTACATGGCCTGTGATGATAGAACAGATTGAAATACAGCAAATATGGAAGCAGATGTGAGAGTCCAGCTGCTTTCCATTAAGCCAGATAGGAAAGAGATTTGCGAAAAGATAAAACAGTGCCACTCTTCTCACTAATTGTTTTGAAGAAAACACATTTAAACGGAAATATATTCTGTTGAATCGGTGTATTATTATTTTTAAATGAATTAATATTTAAAATTTTCTTAGTTTCTAATACTGTGAATCTCAGTAGATATAATGAAGCTAACACAAGCTTTATAATTTTTAAGAGTGTAAAAGAGTCCTGAGATCAAAAAGTTTGAGAACTGTAACTCTAGGCTGAATGATCAGCATTATAATTAATAATCAGCCCCAGTACAAGTGCAATGTTGGGCACTAAGGATTAAAAGAGGCATGAAGGTAAACTCTTACCCTTAAAGGGCTTGTAATTGAGAGTAAAAATCTGAAGTTATTACTGTGTAGTATTAGCAGCATGAGATTTAAACACTGTCTCCAAAATACAACCCTCATTTAAGCCAGATACTTTTAGGATCTATTTTCTGAGGACCTTTCAGGTTTTTGTCTGGTCTAAGATACTGAAATTGATTAATAGTTTCAGGTTAAAATAGTGGACATTAAATTCACAAAAGACTTATATTGTTGTGTTCTTCATTAATTAATGCAAAATAATTATTTTTGGAATTTGAGTGAAACATCCTTACAGTTTGAATACTCCTATCATTATGGGAGCTCTGGTAGGTTAGTGTGTAAGGCACTTGACTGCTAACCAGAAGGCTGGTGGTTCAAACCC